AGCTCGTTTTGCAGACTTGCTATTTGAGAAACAAAAGCGGAGTGAGGAGGTTGATGTATAGAAACTTCATCCTAAAAGACAAACATCATGAGAATAAACAACTTTTTTTTAAAATGGAGCCATTCCCACTTTATTTATAAGGTTACCTTATTTTTTTCGACCTCTTCGCTCAATTCATGCACTTCAAACATTAATCTTCGTAATTTTTGCAGGGGCGTTTCTTGCAATTCTGGATCTCTAGGAACAATTTCATATTCATCTGTATCCAGAACGGCGCGCTTATACAAGCGTTTCCGATGACGGATCGCCATCTCGGAATCTATAAATCATATTCATATGAAATGAAAAGTCTCGGGAAAATGATATGTATAAGGAAACTTACCCGTTTCTGCATTCTCGCCTGTGCTTTCTTTAAACTTATTTACAGCATCACCTACAGAAACCTTGTCATTAACGATGTCCTCGTTAGTTTCTTCGAGATTTGGATACTAAATTAAAGTATTATAAAAAAATTACTAAATTTCCTGTGAAAAGAGAAAGAGCGTGTTCAACACAATATTTACCCCATCGTCTGAGACCTCGGCATCCTCGTAAGAATCGAGGGTCTCGTAAACATCAGGTTGGGTGTCCTATTTGAAATTCTAGATGTAGACTTTTTCAAGATAAAACAAAACTTATAGTGAGCACACTTGTAAAAGGAAACTTACGATATCCGGGAGGGAGCTGTATTTGCTAGACATTTTTTTTTATGACAAGTTAGAGAAGTCGTAAATTTGAGTGTGATCGTGGCGCAGTTGTGTGGAGGTTTATTCATTGTGCAACATTAATAAATAACCTCTACATTCGAAATTTTGTCAATTTCGAGTCAGAATGTCTGGAAAGCTTCCACAGGTGAAGTTTCCCACCTTATACTGTGTATTGTTCTATTTTTTTTCCTTCAAAGAGAAAATGTCATAATTTATATATAACAGAAAAAGTATTTTCGACAACGCGCCCATTCGAACCCCTTCTCGGATCATTTTCTCAAATAGTAAGAACTTCCACGTCTTTTCATTAAACATGTTCTTCGCGATTAACACTATTTATTTTACCTACCTAGTCCTAGAAGTCCGGCTTTTATGGATTGGTCCTCTCATTACCCAGCGTTTTTCGCCCCCCGAAAGGATAACCAATCGCCGTCACAGCCACAGAAAAAAATTGAGTTTGCTGATCTCGGCTGTGGATATGGCGGTCTGCTTGTTGCATTATCCACGCTATTTCCACAAACCCTGATGTTAGGTAAATTCTCTCGACTGTGCAAAGTAGCAAGTGGAAATGCTAAATTATTTGAACTTTAGGTATGGAAATTCGGGTAAAAGTTGAGGAATATGTACGCGAACGAATAGACGCGCTTAGGCTTCAACATCCGGGTCAATATCAAAACATTTCCATTATAAGGATGAATGCGATGAAATTTCTTCCAAATTTCTTTGAAAAAGGTCAGGTAGGGATTGGAGGAAAAAATAATCGTCTCTTTTCTTGTTATAACAATATCACATAACAACGCATTTTTTGAATCAATCCGTGAAAGCTGTCGAAAATGTTTTTCCTGTTTCCAGATCCACATTTTAAGATGAGAAAACACAAGGCTAGAATAATTACGTAAGAACTTTGGAGTTTTATAATGGAAATATTATTCGATTTCAAGTAATATAGAGAACTCCTGCTGCACAGTACGCAGCTATTGGCAGAATACGCATACGTTTTACGCGTTGGTGGTATAATATACACTATCACTGATGTGGAGGATTTGCACGCGTGGATGGTCAAACATTTAGAAGAGCATCCGCTTTT